GTGAATTATTAGTAAATAAATAATTCTTTTATGATAAATAGCTTGAGGTCATTGATGTGCATGATAACAAGTTATTTGAGATGATATGAGAGTATGGGTGTAGAGTTTTGTGCGTTGGTTTTGCAAATAAGTAAAACATGTACAAAAACCAAATTTTTCCAGATCAGTCGACTGACTGTATCGGTCGACACACCAGTCGACTGATACGCTGATTTCCAGTTTTTTAGGTTTCGGGTCTGTTTTGATTTGGTTCGGGTTTGGGTCGGGTTTGACTGTTCGTATATATCCCATCTCACCCGAAATCACCCCTCTCACCTTCAGACCTGAGAAAACCCTAGCCACTTCTCCCCTATCTCAAACCCTAGCCTTGTTCTTGGTGATTTGGGGAAGAACTTGGAGGATTTTCGACGAAATCTTCACATTACAGCAAGGGGATCCACACTCTCTCAGATCCAAGAGGTGTTCATCACCCAGAGGCGAGTAACATCTCGCCCAACTCTGCCCCTTTTGTTTACACGAATTTATTGAGTTTAATGAGTTTTTATTGAGCCAAAAACGTATTTTTAGTACAAAAAATAAATCTTTATGGTATATGATGTGAAGTATTGAGCTTCTCAATTTAGAAAAAGATCATCAATGTTTTATTAAAGAGATCTAGATCTGAAAAACGTTTGACAAGAGTTATTTCATGATTTATTGATTTCAAAACGTATTAAACATGTTTTTATGTGTTTAAGGTTTTTGATAAATGTTTCCATGTGATCTTTCATTCCAGTTTAGTGCAAATATGTTGATATCAGTATTTTTCATGCTTGGGATTGATGGAGATGAGTTTGGATCAAATTTAGGTGAAAAAATAGCCTGTGCAGAGTTTTCTGCGGTTAATCGGTCGACTGATCAGTCGACCGACGGGCTAAAATTTTCAGTCATCAGTCAACTGATCAGTCGACTAACGGGTTGATTTTGTTTTCTCAGCTTCTCAGTCAACTGATCAGTCGACTGGTGTGCTGAGGCTGTGCTGCCTGAACCTTATCAGTCGACATATGAGTCGACTGACATCATCAGTCGACACATCAGTCGACTGATGAGCTGTTTTACAGATTTTTGATCTGTTTGAGTTGCTCTTCGGGGTCGCCTCGATAACCTGACCCTAGTTTACCATGTTAATGATTTATCTGTACATATGGGATGACTTTGGACACAAGTTTAGACATGTACACCGAGATGCGGGTGAGTTTAGATTATGTATATCAGTCCGCATATATTTTTTACAGTTACACAGTCCTCGTGTTGGACTATAATCTATATAAGTCCTCGTGTTGGACTATAATCTATTTCAGTCCTCGTGTTGGACATTTGCCACTTATTCCATGTGTTTAGAAACCACAGTATTTAGTTCCTGTATCGGACATATTTCTTAACCCTGTATATGACTTTCTCATAGGAGTTTATGACATGACACTTATGTAGATTATAACATGACATACATGTAAGTTATAACATGATGCTCATGTAAGCTATGACATGGCACTGTATTTATGCTCTGAGATTGGTTGTATTTCTTTTATTATTATTTCCTGTACTAGAACCTCGGGTTTAGTGTTTAGGGATTTACAATTTGAGATACAAGGTATATACATGAGGGTTTCCTTGTTTGGATTATTTCGCTCGACGTACCTATGCTCGTGTTGTAAATTTCTAAATACTAAAATCCTCTTTAGTAAGATCAATGATTTGAGATCTATTATGTATTATCTATATTTTCTTATACAACGAGCCCTGTTCCCTTGGGGTTGGTTGTGATGTTACTCGCTAGCGCTTTGACGCTCGTTGTCCCTCCCCCTTTCAGGTAACGAGCCAGGAGCCCGGAGAGTCGCAGGTTGATAGCGACACACTTTAGTGTTCAGCTGTCTATTTTAGCTATGTTTTATTTTGGAGCTCCACTGTAGTTTTGTTAGACATTTGAGAATCTTATTCTAGAAGTTGTAAAGGTTGTGTGCCTTATTTCCTCTTGTCGGATATTTGTATTTTGAGACTTGTTGAGTATTTCAGTTATCTATTCAGATATTGACTATGTATTTCTGTATGTTGGATGATGAGATATTAATGTGATCACTATCACTTCATTAGTTACTTCTTGTACTATCTTTTACTTGCTTTTGTACCTGCACCTATTGTTGACTCTACTAGATAGATGTTAATTATGATGGTGAAACATGTTATTGCACGGTGTGGTGCATGACAGGTTTGATATTCTTGGTTTCACCTTGGACTGCAGCCTTGTGTGAACCCAGGGGCGCCACAACAGCCCCCCTCAAACTCATGTTGGATCAAACAAAGTAAGTTTGCATACAAGAATCGATGAACGGGTAAAGCCTTTGTGAAGAAATCTGCAAGCTCGTCATCGGATGAGACATGGGGAAGTAGAATTGTCTTATCCTTGATAACTTATTGACGGACAAAATGTGTGTCGATCTTAATATGTTTGGTCCTCTCATAAAATACTGAATTATTAGCAATCTGGATTGCACTCTTATTATCACAATAGAGAGAAGTAGAAGTCGTAACAGAAATACTGAAATCACTGAGAAGACGATGGAGATGAATAACCTCTTTAGCTGTTGTGGACATTGCACAATACTCTGCCTCGGTGCTGGAAAGAGCAATAACATCTTGTTTCTTACTCTGACGAGAAATATGGGATTCACCAAGAAATATATAATAACCTATGGTAGACTTCCTGGTAGTGGGATCACCAGCCCAATCAGCATCAAAATGTGCACAAAGCTCTAAATTGGATATAGCAGAAAACAGAAGAGAGTGAATGCTAATACCCAGGAGATACCGAAGAATCTGTAATAAGGAAGCATAGTGTACAGAACGTGGGACACTAACAGATTGACTGACAATACCAACAGCATGAGAGATATCTGGTCGAGAGATGCACTGATAGACCATCTAGCCAATAAGATGTCGGTATCGGGTAGGATCGTTAGCCAATAAGATGTCGGTATCGGGTAGGATCGGATAGAGGCTCACCATCAGTAGAGTAAAGTTTGACATTTTGTTAGAGTGAAGTATCGACAGTTGCATCGTCAGTTAGCTCAGCGCGATCTAGAATATCCGATAGATACTTCTGTTGAGACAGTAGTACACCTCGCGAGCCCTGAGAAATTTCTAGACCAAGAAAATAGCGAAGAGATCCAAGATCCTTCATGTGAAACTATTATTGTAATTGAGATTTTGCAAACTATATATCAGCAGCATCATAACTTGTAATGATAATATCATCTACATAAATGAGTAATAAAACTCTGCCACGCGATGTAGTGCGAACAAATAGAGAAGCATCTTGATGACTCTCCATAAAGCGCGCCTTGAGCACGACATTGCGAAAACACTCAAACCAACCGTAGTGTGCCTGCTTGAGACCATAAACAACATGACGAAGGAGACATACGTGTCTCAGAGGAATATTGGACTATGGAGGCGGTTGCATATATACTGTCTCAGATAAAGAGTCATGGAGAAAAGTATTATTGACATCCATCTGGTCTAAGGGCCAACGATGAGCAGCAACAACCGCAAATAGAGTACAAACGGTGGGCATCTGAGCAACAAGAGCAAGGGTCTCCTCATAATCAATATCTTGTTGCTGAGTAAAACCTCGAGCCACTAAACAAGCTTTTTGATGTTCAATGGTGTCATCAGGACGATACTTAACCTTATAAACCTATTTACTGCTAATAAGGGAGATCCCAGGGGGATAGAGAACAACATTCAGGTATGTGTTTGCTTAAAGGCCTGAAATTCCTTAACCATAGCCTGTCGACACTCTGAAAATTGAACTGCCTCTTGAAAGGACTTTTGGCTCAACGGTAGTATGAATAGCAGCAAGAAAGTTATGAAAGATAGGTGAATAGAAAGTAACTGAAGCATACCAGTCAGGCATGGCATGTGGGTGTTTGCCTCGATGAAGAGCAAGAGGAACATTAGGTGGGGCAGATGTTGGCGCAGGTGCGTGGAGATCAACAGCATTTTTTAGAGTGAGTGTCGTGTTCACGAGATAGGGATCAAATGGTGTAAGAGAAGGCTCAGGTGAGGAAGTGTCAACAGAAAGAGATGGAGAGATGTCAGAGAGATCTCGAAAGGAAAACTAAGGTGAAGAAGTGGGTGATGCAGCTGACAGGGAAGCATGATCAGTAGAGTGGATGAAATTGAAGTTATCAGAAGCAGAATAATATGGAGAATCCTCTTCGAACTGAACGTGATGAGATATATGAACTCGATGAGTTGCGGGATCATAACAATGATAACCTCGTTGTTCAGAACTAATTCCTAAATAGACACAAGAAATAGCTCTAGGAGACAAGTTATCACGTTCGTGAGATGGCAGAAGAACAAAACAGTGACAACCAAAAACACAGACTAGATCATAACGGGGAGGATGAATATAAACACGACTATAAGGAGTAGCACCGGAAAGAGAGCTAAATAGAGTGACATTAATAGCATGAGTAGTAGTGAGAATGGCCTCAGCCCAGAAACGATGAGGAACATAGTAAGAAATAAGCATGGATTGAACGGTATCGAGGATATGACGATGTTTACGTTCAACAATATCATTTTGCTCATGAGTGTAGGTACATGACTATTGAAAGATAGTCCCATGAGAGGACATAATAGAGCGCATGGTAGAGGATAGGTACTCTTTGGCATAGTTAGAATGAAAAACTTTAATACGAGATTGCCATTGAGTAAAAATTATAGCAGTGAAAGCTTGATAAGCAGTAAGTACATCAGAACGATTCTTAAGTAAGTAAACCCATGTAAAACGAGAGAAATCGTCGATAAAACTAACATAATATAAGTAGCCAGATAAAGAAGGCAGAGAAACTGGCCCCCAAATATCAGAATATACTAAATCAAATAAGGAAGTGGATACAGATATACTCATTTTAAATAGTAAATTAGTGAATTTAGCCAATTTATAACCAGTACATGACTCAATACTAGAGCTAGATGATACAGAACCAAGTACTCCAGACTGAATAAGACTCTCCAGCCTTTTATTAAACACATGACCAAGTCGTCTATGCCACAAATTGGCAAGAAGCGAGGTAGAGGGTTATGATGAACAGAAACAACAAGAGAACGTGGACGTATGGACCCTGGAAGGTGACGATATTTTAGAAAATACAGCTTGTGCTCCTAAGACCCGCCCCAACCGTCTTGCCCGTCTGTGGATCCTGCACAAGACAAGTATTATAATAAAATGAGACAAACATGTCAGCCATACATAAAGAGCTAATAGAAATTAAATTCAAGCTCAAATGATATAGAGAGCACGAGCGGTCTGAAGATCGACATCACTACTGCCAGATGTAACAGTACTGGATGAAGCAACAGTACTGATGGATGGTGGAACTGATCCCATACTGGTGAGATGATCAAGAAGACCAGCGATACGCAAGGCATTGGTGACAATGGTGGACCACCCTACCCAGTCACTTTGATCATTGAGGGGCAGTGGTGGTTTAGGAATCTTCTCTGAAGGAGCCATAACAGCAAACCAAAGTTCAAGATAATAAACTTTGAACGAAAAAACATGAAGGTTAGAATGGAACCAGAATGTTTGCATCCACGCAAAGGTGGCAAGTAGCGACTTATGACGCAAGAGTGATGATCGAACGGCCTAGCAAATATGTCAGCTCTAAAAGCCGAAGTACAATTGGCTGCGACAACTCAATGTACCGATCCCCCCCTTTCCGAAGCCGTTGTTCAGGGCTGCGAGGCGGGGTCAAATGAAGATGGTGAACTGAATACGCTCATTCAAAATCTGTGGCATGGGAAAAAACACAAAATAAATTTTTCGGTTGAGGTCACCTAAAAGTGCCATCAATACCCTTCACCTGCATTCCTCCAATTCCTTACTATTGGGCCCTAGATGCTGCTTCTTATTCTCCTCTGTATCTGCACCCTCCGTCAGTTCGCTCTCTTTGTTGCCTTAAAATTATAGTCGTATGATCGCTATCTATACTATAATATATATATATATTATTATAATTATATATTATATATTAATAATTATATATATATAAGTATATTATTAAATTCTCCGGGGAAATCACTTCTCCAATTAGTGGATGATCGGGGGTCGTAAAAAATCGGCGGGGGTGGGGAGCAATTGGGGACAGACGATCCGGGTGCAATCGATTTCTGGCAGGCGGGATTGCGGGATTGGACCGGGATTCGCACGCGAAGATTTGTGACGCAAGCAGCAACTCGTTGATATCGCAGTGCTGCTGAGGATCTTCTCTGCGGCGACTGAGATCACAACTTAGAAGGGAAATTTTTATTTATTTGGAAAAAAATTATTATTTGGGAAACCCTAAACCAAGCTCTGATACCATGTTAAAGTAAGAGAGACAGGGAGAGAGCCTTGGGTAAATTTTACTTGAATTGAATATTGAGTATGTACATATATATACAAGTAGATGAGGGTGAGGCTTGTCCTCATAACCAATGTGGGACTAAACCCACTACTAACGCAATATTATCAACATGTGTGATGCTTTCTAAGAGTGGATTGAATCTTCCCTATGATGCATACAAATGAATTCCTTGCCCATTTGCTCATTAGTCGATCTCAAGGCATCATGTGCAATAGAAGAAAATAATTAGCAAAATGATCATGAAAAATAATAATGATGAAATAATTATAGATTTTCTCTATCTACTTACCAACATTCTCTCATAGAGTTCTTCTTCCTACAAGATAACAATCAAAAAGAAATGGTTAGCTAAATAATCATGAAAAAATAATAATCACAAAATAAGTGTAGATTTTCTCTATCTACTTACCAACATTCTTTCAATTGGACTCTCGGATATATATGGAAGGTGATTTGTTCTCCTGATATACCCATCAGCAAGTAATCCCCCATACCAATGTATATACACATCTAGGTCTGGCACGCCACCTCTCTCCATCACTATAGCACTCTTGCTGAAATCTCAATCCTCAATGTACGATTGACAAATTATCTCATAATTTTAATGATATGCTCACGTTTAGGGATTTTGCTCTCTTCTTCTATAGGATCTAGAATGTGTTGTTTCAATCCAAATTATCAAAGCACCCGATCGGGCATGTGTATCTCGACAATTTCAAAGCATAAGATCGGGACACTTGCAAGCCATATACCTTCACTAAATCCTTATTTGCATGAATGCCACTTTTGCCAACTCCCTATAGAGATAGGCTAGCACTGTAATTCCCCCTGATAGTTCTCCATACTTATCAAGATTCATAAGAAGTGGCAACCGTATAACGCGCACTAAATCCTTGGTTGAATCTGAAATTAGAATAGTGTCGATAATATACCTTATGTATGTTGAGCATATGTCTTAATGATCTCATTTGTGGCCTCTATCGGTACATTCATGTCATTTTGATGTAGCTATTTGAGCTTAACCTTGCCACCCTTCATATCAGGAGCTTGTCCCAATAGACCTTCACACACTCCTACCCAATTAAAGTCGTAGGTACCCATAACAGTATTCTCATTACTTTGAGGCCAAAAACAACCCCTACATCCTGCAAAGTAATACTTGTCTCTCCTTGTCATGAGTGCAATGTGTTTGTCTCAGGTCTCCATCGGTCAACCAAAGCTATCAAGACGGGTCAATCGAGCCTTATCCATTGCACCTTTGAACATTCAAAAAAAGCCTGCTTGATGAACATAGTCTTGAACACATGGATCTGTCAAATTCTAACCTGAACTTGCACGGGTGTGATTAATTACATTAATATTCGAGGCCTACATGTGTTACAAAAAATAATATATATTAGACAAAACAATCACGCAAAATGAAAAATAAGATTGAAAACATTAAATGATTGAAAATATTGAAAATTTTTACCTCCCCTAACTCTAACTGTGTAGATCGGTATTGATCTTGGTCGTATAGGACCTCGTAAGTCATTGGTCCTACGGAGATGATGCATATGTCTGCACATATAGAATAAAATGTGTCATTATTATATTATAGAATATATTGAATTAGAAATTACATACAATATATTAAACATAAAAAATATCAAATAAATTTTACACATTAATTGCTATCTATATATATATATATATATATTTATATTATGAGATGGTGAGCTCAAATCTTATCGTGAGCTAGACTAATAAGTTAATCAAATTCATGATCGGTATCATACATCTTGTTCAACACGTCACGTAATGTATATGATAAAATTTTCACATAATTAGGAGTATTCTAGAACATGAATTGAACTAGTTTGATATGTTGATTTTTCACGTAATTTAATAGCCGTCCCTTCTACACATATCTAAAACAATGATTAAAAATTTAAAACAATATCATTTTTTCTACATGTAGATGATGATGAGTGCAAATCACGATAAGCGGTACTAATTATCTTTTCGAGTAGGCTATTGGGCTAGCTCACGATAAGAATGAAAGTACCCTAGAGGGGGGTGAATAGGGTTATTTCTAATCTTATTAGATATTAATGCTGATTAAAATTAATTAACAAATATATTCTAACAATGATGATATTCAATAAGATATATACAAGGATATATATGCAAAGGGAAAAACAAACAAGAAACAATATAAAAAAATAATGGACACAAAGAGCAATTCAAACACAATAATATGATCACGGAGTTCAGGCCTTCCGTCCTACGTCTCCGCTCCCCACTCCTGGGGAGAACTATACTATCGACACACCCGGTTTGGAAGCCGAAAGTTCTCTACACACTCGGTTTTCTAGCTCACCAAAAATTCTATAAATCTCTCACAATGTACATACACAAACTACAACCTCAAGTGTTGGTCCTCACGTATCGTCTCCCTTAAGTGCTCGACTTTACTACCTCTCTCTAGGCTTTACTACCGACGTCACTCCTCTTGGTATCGACTACATCCTCACCACACACTCCTCTTTGTGTAAATGTGTATTACAAGGTGATACTCTCACAATAAGGCTCAATTACAAGATTTGTTCTCTATAATAGATAAGAACACAATTTAGGCTCACTCTCAAGGTTACACTCACCACAACCCCAAATTATACAATATGTGAAAATACTTAAGCTCAAAGGTTGTGTGTGCAAGCAATGAGAAAATAAAATCAAACTTAATTAAAGTCTGGCAAATATAAATATGATAATATAAATGTAAACAAGCTAAATAAATGAGTTGAGAAAACTTCTCTAGAACAAGAGAGATGGAGATGTGAAATGGAAAGCTCAAACCAAAGATGATCTCCTCTTCTTATGAAACAATCTTCACCAAACCAATTTTGTAAACACTTAAACAAACTTAAACCATGCTTAAAACTTGTTTTTAAACTCTCTTTTTCTTAGTTCAGAAATGAAATAGAATAGGGGTATATATCGGATAAAGAACCAAGGCACTAAACCCAAGCAAAACCAGCAAAAATGATAAAATAACCAAGGCTATATATATAGCCATTATAGACCATCAGTCGACTGACGGGTTTCATCAGTCGACTGATGAGGTGACCGTTGTAGGTATTTTCCAGCTCATCAGTCGACTTGCGACTTTTATCAGTCAACTGATGGATCATCAGTCGACTGGTCAGTCGACCAAAACAAAACAGAAACATTTGGCAACTACAGGCACTTTCATCAGTCGACCGATCAGTCAACTGATTTCATCAGTCGACTGACCAGTCGACTGATAATAAGTATACAGCCTGTTTAAAGCAGAAACTTGATTTTCAAACTACCTTTAAAAATAGTAAACAAATTCTAAAAATTATGAAACTTTGAGAAATTATTATAGACATGATAATACACATGTTACAAAAACTGGTTTTTAAAAAACATCTCCCAAATTTGAAATCTCATTATTTTGCAAAATCATATAAGTATGAACATGTTAAAAACTTGATCTTGCCAAAATGACTAAAACAAAACTTTGAAACATTTTAGAATGGATTTAGTGACTTATACAAAATATGAAAATAGTGTAAATAAGTTTTAAATCCATAAACATAATATTTTGCAATTTTAATAGAATATGAAACACATAAATATAAAAATGAAGATATATATTGTTTCGTATCTATATAGCTAAACCAAAACATATATGTATATATATAATTGTATATATACAAAACCAAAACGTGTATGTGTGCATATAATTGAGCTTAAAGTACCAACACACATAATATAAAATCTAAACTAAATTACTCAAGCTTGATGAAGGTCTTCAATAATCACGACTTGGTAAACTTACGGATGAAGCTTGAACTTGGATCTTCAACATGAAATGCATTACTTCTCCACTATTCCGCCAACATCCATTGGATATGATCGTGAATGCTTGATTCCATCCATCCTCCAACATATTGTTTGTCTAGAATACCTAATACGAAAGCATAAACACTAGACAAATAATATTAGGAATTGTTTGTAATCATCAAAACAAGATTAGAAAATGTATGCTCATAACATGAGACCTAACAATGAGCCCTATAACTCTAATTTTAATTAAAATCCTAAAAAAATAAATGAAAACTTTTAACCCCAATATTTGCATTCTATACCCTAGAATTCCAAATTCAATTAAATCCTACCACACACAAAGACTCATAGTCATCACAAATATATCTAATTGATAGATAATTTTAAACCCAAGAAATTTAATTTTGATGAAAACCCTAGAAAGATATGAAAACCTAAGATTTAAAAGTTGAAGAAGAGAGAAAGGAGAGAAATTACTTTGATGTAGGCGTGATAGAAATCCAAAGATCCCTTATGAGACCCACTGCAAGTCACCCACAATCCCCGTCATCATTCTCATCAAAAGTCAAAGTAAGAGAAAGAGAGAGTCAGACTAGGAGAGAGAGGAAAAGTTAGAGTGAGAGAGAGAAATGAGAAATGAGAAGTGAACCCGTGAAGTCTATATAACTAAAAAGTGGAAGGGTTTGGGAACCTTATCTATTTTTTTAATTTCAGGCCCACATCTCAGCGAAATTAATAGACGGTGTTTCCAACCCGTTCCTTATAAAAACTTAACTATTTTCCGAATAGGGGCTAAAGTCTTAGTCAAATAGTCAGGATTAACAATCCTAACTATTTTGACTTGGATTTCAAAACACAGTTCAAAATAATTTTGGTTGGCGACCCTGACTATTTTGAAACAATTAAGAAGCAGATATCTGTCTAATTAATCGGGATTATCAACCCGGCTAATTAGAAGCTAGGTCCTAATTAGGTTCTAACTAGTCGAGGTTCCCGACACCAACTAATTAGAGAGCGGTCTTTTTTATAATCGATCCAGTTTCTGACAGTGCTGCTGACACGGTCGAAATTGGGTCAATTTCTGTAAATACTTTTGTAATAGAACGATCTTAGCTAATAAAGTTTTAAATGAGTCTATTTTGAAAGTTTCTCCTAAGTTGTATGGGTAAGGTTCATAGAGTGGTATTTATTTCCCAAATTTTTATTTAAAGGGTAAATTGTATATCCCTCCCATGTCCTGACATCAATTTTCATCAAACGTGAGGCTTAAAAAGCCAAATATACCCTTTTCCTAACAACATTTTCTTTAATAATATAGATAAATACGAACATGTGTGTAATAGAGAGAATACTAAATCTATTCTTTTATACAAATGGGAGAAACAAAGAGTCACTGTTCATGCTACAGTAAATGCTGCAGTAGATTTACTGTAGCAGTATTACTGTAGCAGCTGAAAAAACTTAAAAACACTGTAGCAGATCGGTTACTGTAGCAGCTCGGGAATGGTACTGTAGCAGGCGAGTTACTGTAGCACATCAGAAAATTCAAACCGGGAGAGTTTAAAAACGGCGGGAACACTGTAGCAAAAAAAACACCGTGCTGCGCACGGGCTGCACACTAGTTTATCTATATACTAAAACTAATGGGTCTACTACTGTTCCTAAGCACAGTAGCACCTGATAGTTTGGTATGAAAAAAATTTAATTTTACTCATTAGTCTAAACATTAACCTAATTTAACTTTTTAGCCCAAAAAGAACTACGATGTACCACCTCCCAAGGCACTGTAGGAATAGCGGCTACCAACTACATAAGATAATAATATATATTGAAGGTTTTTCCCCAAAAAATCGCATGTTTCATCTATTTATTTTTAAGCCCCAAATTCTCACATAAAGAGCTTTATTCCTTCAGGAATTAAGGATTTACTTCATCGTATTTAAATCTATCTGCTTCTAAGATCACTCTTAGTCCGAAAAAATTTGTTATTGTTATTACTATTACTATTTATATTATATTATACTGTATAATATAATTATAGGATTGATATAATTTAAACAATTTTCTCTACATCGCCACCTAACTACTTCATAGATAAGTTAGTAAGAGTCTATATTTTGAGCCTCAAGGTCCAGGGTCCAACTCTTGTGATGCTAGAGTCTATATTTTGAGCCTCAAGGTCCAGGGTCCAACTCTTGTGGTGCTAATTTTTCCTCCCTCCAATGTTAATACTAGCTCTCTCTACAATCAATTTTTATTCGGTTGTGGAAATAAGGAAACCGAAAAAAATGGAGAGACAACTCAATTCCTCACCTCCGCACTGCTCCTTCCTCACCTCTATCTTTTCGATCCTATATTTTACACAACGTGCATCTTCAAACCAAATATAATTAAAAATTTTCAACCAGAAGAATAAGCATATAGTTATCTAGAAACCTTTCTTCGCACCTGATATTTTCAATCAGCTGTAGATAGACATTGTTTATATCTACAGTGCACATTCAAAACAAACATAATTAAACAATTCCAACCACAAGCATAAATCTATAGTTATTTAGAAACCTCTATTCTTCTCCTAAAATTTTCAGTCAAAAACCATATGACACGGTGGTGAAAATAAAGAAAGCATTTCCACAAGGACTTCCTCCAAGAAAGCCTTAATACGAGGACTTCCTCAAGGATAAACGCCGAAAATTGGCTATGGTTTCTTCAAGAGAAAATTTATTCAATTCTAAAAGATGACGGCCACTGCCCCAAAATAAAGTATTTAAGGGGAAATTCTAAAACCCTAAAAGAAGTTTAAAAGAAACTTACTAAATTACCCAATAGAAAATAGAAAAAATAGTAAATTGCAAATTTAAGGCCCTAAACGATCTCAGATGCCCGAAAAACAGTGGATCTCATGGCAAAGACATGAGTCTTGCTCATTGGCCTATTTCGCTTAAGTTGTGCAAATTTTGACCCATTCGGACACTTTGAATTTTTGATCCTATATAACTTTTTGTCCTACATCACCCTATTTTGAATTCTCAGGTTATCACCTCTCCACATCATTCCAACCCCTCCTTGATTAAAAAATAGGGAAACAAATTTATGGATCAAAAAGTAAAAGAAACCAGGGAAAATTAACAAACCCATATTGATGTTGAGGAGCGATGGAGGAGATTAGAGGAGAGGGGATGAGTAATGTGGATAGACATCGGCTTCATATAAAGGATTGTAGGGGTGCTGTAGGGTTTTGTAAAGTGTATTGTTGATCATTTTGGAGGGGTTAATGTTTTGGTAAGTTAAGTTTTGGGATTATTTATTTAGTTGAAACTTTGGATAGCATTGAGATGTTTTGTTTTTTTATCTTTCTATGTATACTTCCCAAATTAAATATATTTGTGAATTTTCCCTGTAATTTACCATCAATTCTATGACAAAAATTTAGTTTGATTTTTTTTCTAAATTATATCCACATGGCAGAGGTGAGGAGTTCAACAAATTTGATACAATGGATGTGAGTTTACTTTGATGTTTATTATTTACATTTGCTTTGATGCTTGTTATTTCTAAATTATTATGTGACATTGTCCAGCTTACAAAGGCAGAACATTTCAAGATTATGATATATGGGGATCACATTTGAAAAGGGAACACAAATGAGACCTCATCCCAAACAAGGAAGTAAAGCTTCAATCCTTTAGTTATTAATCGTTTTCTCTTATTTAGATATCCCAACGACATGTGGTTAGATCTAATAAATGCACATGGTAATTTGTTTCCACATTGTCATATATAATCAAATGAATTAAGTTACTAAATAAAATTAGTGTTATGCATCCATGTACTTTCAATGAATCTTTGTTAGTATAAATTCTAAGTTACTATCATTCTTTTCTTAGAATCCTATTAATACTTTGAAGAGTTCTCTAATACATTGGATCTCTAACTTGCCAAATTGTTAACTTGGGTTAAGTACTGTAACACAGTTGTGAAGCTTTTCCTTATTCCTCTTTTTAGCTTATTTTTACGCTAATGTCGGGTCATCGTGCAGGTCAATTTTGCTCATTTTGAAACTGCAAGAATGACATTTTTTCTTATCTTCTTTTTTTTGGGTATATCATGGATTTTACCTAAATACAAATTTTTGAGGGAAAAAACCAAAAAAACGGTTAAAGTCCATAAAAATTAATATGTTCTCTTAAAAAAATAAAAAAATGACTTCTATTGTTAGAACAGGTCTTAGCAATTTGCATGGCAAAAAGAGTTCACTTTGAGAATATAGAAAATAAATCCATTTGGACAAAGATATAAGTATAAGTAGGAGAAACTAGTGACGAATGAAGAGAGTAATTTTTCATTATCACTACCAGCTAAAGATAACAGGATTTCTTCCAAATAAATGAAGATGAGCCAATAAACATTTTGGATATTTTTATATCTTAAATCTTTTGGTTTAAAGATTTAAAGTAGTAGGAATCATATTGAAACCTTCTAACCATTCGGCTCATCTATGCTGGGTAAAGTTGTATAAATCTTTAGATACAAAAGAATAAATCAAATTTCATCCACAAGATGATCAAAGCTAACGGGTGCAAGAACTAAGTAAGCGTGGCGACGAGGATGAGTTGGCCCAAAACCCACACTGAACCAGCCCGTTCTAGGTTGGGTTTGACCCAACCTGGTACAATGCGGCCCGAGTTTGGCTCGCTCGGCTCGGTTCGGTCTCAAAGTGGGCAAAGTATGGGCCTATTTCTGATACCCAAGCTTGAACTCGAACCCGACCCATAAGCCTAACCCAACTCAGATCGAACATGGGCCCTGACTGAGCCGGAACCTAACTTGCACCCAATCTTCGTAAGGCCATTAGATTTTAGTAAAATAAATTAGTTATTAGTAATTAACTAACTATTGTTAACTATTTAGTATTTTTCACGCAAAAAATTGATATGTCTGAATCCAAAGTATTCCTCAAAATGCAACAAACTTGCCACCAATTGGTCAAATTTCTTCTAAGTCAAGTTCTAAAACAAGTCAAAAACATAAAAGTGTGATAAAGAAAGGAAAAGAAATGGGTTGGATTCACCTAACCCTGCCCAACTCAAATGAGCCGGGTTGGGTTGTGTTTCCAACCCGGGAACCTAAACTTTGGCTCAACCCAAACTCAAGGTTAGCCCGAATTGACCAGCCCGGATCAGCTAGGAACCGGGGAGCCTAGGCCGGGGTCGCCTCAGCGCAGCCCAGTCACTAGACCTACTGTTAAGTGATGAGGGCATGAAGAATATTTGGAAGAGTGTAAGGTCAACAAAGTGTGAGGAAGCAATTTTTACACGGTCTTGTAAAGCCCATGTAGAGGGCCACTTTGTTATTTAACACTCGCGATAAAGAAATGCGGGAATCAAGGCGTGAAAACAACCGCCAGGATCTCGAGCAAGCACATGTAGATAAGATATCCGCTCTTGTTAAATGTTTCTGGGGCTCTCCTGAAACATGTTCCATATTAATACAGAAATATGTTTAACTTCATACTCAACAACAAGAAGTAACTGCTGTATGACTGACGTAAGAAAAATATATTCAAAACCCCCCTTCTCCCCTTTCTTTAGCTTCTGTTGTGAATGCAAAAATAACTTATATTATAGATATTAAGGTACATACATTGTTCATACTCTTAACTGAAGAAATTTGCCGAGAGCAGATATGCTACCATGAACTATCCGTAAAAATGGTTCCAGTAACTAGTGATTACAAGATGTTGACACGTTTGAAATCTGTCGAAACTGGACAGGAGAGCAAAAGCTAAATGGAAAAGAGGACTAACGGATTCCTCAATCATCTCCAAGTTCACCGTCTTCAAGATCCTCATAGGAACTATTTCTGTGCGATCCTTCTCGATCTTTCTTGTGCTTCCTGTGCTGGCTTTCACCGTCGGATTCAGAGGCACGCTGCAAATGGTATCAACGAAAATTATTATGCATCGTTCTGAATACAGTTCAAAAATAAATAAATAAATGGGGCCTCTACTTTTTAAGCATACAATAAATGAAAAGATAATAATACTTAGTTCACCTTCCGGGATTTCTTGTGGTCACTGCTGTGCCTATGGGACTTCTTGTACTTTTCTTTCTCATCTTTCTCTTCATCTGCTTCACTGCGATGATGTTTCCTACGTTTTCTCTCTCTGTCCCTGCTCCTGCTTTTGTCATCCACACTGGAGTTATCTCCAATATCAACATTTTCACTGTCTGTTTCATCCTTTCTAGATCGTCGTTTTCCCCTTTCCTTTTCATGATCTCTTTCCTTATCTTTTCTGTCCCTTCTTTTCTCTTTATCCTCTCTCCCTTTCTCTTTCTTTGCCTACAAGTAAACATGCCAAAGAACAACGCATAATCCTCAGCTGCTAAGAATATACATTTTTTTTTTGCAACTCTTAAAAGTTAAAATAAGCATGAAAATACTGCAAAGAGAGAGCAGTTTAATAAGCAATCTATTAATGTAGAGGGTCATAAGTAATAACACTTCATAAGAAACTTGAATGCTTATGACAAATTCTGATATTTGCAGAAGATTCTGTGAAGGCAATTCAAGGAACTAAATTACAACAAAATGAAGAAATCGAAGTCTGATAGAATTCAAAGCTAATATCCACATCGATTATTTCTATTATGCGAACAGCAAGGCGATCGTGAATCGTATATAACACATTCAGAAGAAATACATGGCATCTATACTCAGAGATGAAACGGCCTGGATATGTAAATAAAATATTAAGAGACACAATAAATTAAAGCATTGAGTTCCAAACTATTTAAATGATAGCCCAAAATGATATCACCAAAGATAAAGTTTCCTAGTTATCAAGGTAAGGAACCAAAATTCACAATGTGATAAGTAAGCTTGTCACTTGTCAGCATATATGTATGTATGTAGTACTACATGTATCCATACTCATAATGGCTTGCGATAGAGATGGCATGATTTGTGTTACCCCACAAATACCTTAACTAAGAAGACTGGGTTGAATTTACCTCTTCAGAAAAAAAAAGTGCAGAGGATAATCCATGCTAACTTTAATAATCCATGCTAACTTTAAATGCAATTTAACACCAGAATCATAATTCAGAGTTATAGTTGGATGTCATCTGTAATTCTGTATAGATTGCGTATTTCTCTCTTTTAAGTCATTACTTTAGTACTATCTTTACTTCCATGTTCCAATCAGTAATGATGGTGCTATGTGAAAATTGTCCTCACTGGGCCATATGTAGGGGTGCTAAACCGTATCTGTATCTGAGGAAATATCTGTAACCGTATCCGTTGAAAACAGATATGGTTACTCAAATCTATAACCGATAGGATATGGTTACGAATATGGCTTTATATTGAAATATCCGGATCTGTATCCGAAATATCCGAAAACATATTAGTCATATTGTGACGATAGTTTTAGCTTTCCAAATATTATGAACATATTAATTAACTCTTTTGTATCACATTAACTATAATTTTTTCAATACTATGTAGTTTTCTCATATCCGTTTTGTATCTACATGCATATCCGCATATATATATGAATTTTCTTAATCGAGGTATATCCGTATCAGTAATCGTATCCGTATCCGAGATGGATAAGCGGATATGGACATGGTAAGTATCATATCCGAGCCATAGTCAGACCGAGTGCACCCGTAGCCATATGGGACCTGATTAAGTATTGAGAATTGGCAAATTGGTTTCAAAAGATATTTTAACTAAATATATTTGTACCAAGGCTCTTGACATAAGAGAATTTCCAGTGACCATGCTAGAGAATAGCTGGCCTGTGATAGACATGCAGGCCAGGGGTTGCTTTGCCAGCAGACTCTTCTATATTTATTGTGATATGCAAGTAAAGGAATCATGCTGAAGAAAAGGGTTTAGACAAATCAAGATTTGGGTTGATTTGAGTCAGATTCAAATCCAACTCGCTCAAGTCTTGTTCCTACTTGGCATTCACAGTTCACATAGTATCTTCAGTAGCTTAACATTACATGCATGGCCGCTAAGGCCTTGCTCAATGGTAAAGAGCATGATATTAGGTGTCATAGGTTGCAAGTTTAACATCATACAAGACAATATTAAGAAAACTGAGCAGAAGACTAAGGGAGAAAAAGGACGCACATGGACTCCTTACATTAGTCTTCTAAGGAAAACTAATTCTAGGTCCAAACAGTTAATAAAATAATTATTTTTAATAACTTAGTCCAGCTGATCTCAAGAACAATATATAATGACCCACTAAAGTATTAAACTTAAATGCAAAGTAATCATATGTGGGATAAGATGTTCTTTATATGTGGAACACCAAACACTGTTATCTCCATTATTCAGTGAAATTAAAATTAATTTTTACTAAAACCAGATAACTAAGATTCAACATTGTTTTCCCACCCTCTTTTAGTTCAAATACAAAGAATGTGTTCGTTAAAATTTGTCCTTTAGGTCTAATTAGTTAGCATTATTTTCTAATAAAACTACATAATTAAGATTCCACGCTGTTGCTTCCCCTCTTTGTGAAATGTGATTTCACACATTATAAAGAATTTGTTTATTGAAATTAATATGCATGTGGTCCCATTTGTCCTTGAAAAGTTTTCTTATAAGTTAATATAGTAGCATAATATTTGGAAAAGTGAAAAAAAAATGAAACCAATGAATATAAAACTTGTGGATAACTCTGACTTAGTCTATGTACCAATAATTCTAATTGAAAATTATCGAAGCCTCAAAGCTCCTGACGTTACTACTAGTAAACGGAAAGGAAAAACAACAACTACTACCAAGATTTCAAATCTTGGTAAGGACTAACTGTAAGGGGACATGCCACTCAAAACCTTATCGATAATATTATTACTGCTACTTACTAATAACTGCAAGAGATAGCATGTCAATTGTCGAACTCAAAATAGCTTCTCATTATATGTATAACAACCATAAATTTTGACAAATTATTAAAACGTTAAAATTGAGTTTTAGGTCAATAAATATTGACAACTACATCATACTATGATTGTACTTCAAAGTTTATTGGCTATGCACATATATTTAAATGTATAGATTTTTTTCAGTGATTATCACGTTTAAGGAAATAATATAATTATCCCTCAATGAGCAAAGTGCATGTAGACTTTGTATAATTGGAAGGTAAGAACATTGGATGATCACCTTTAAATTATGGATCTGTTATAATGTAGCACTAGAAATTTCCTAACTCCCGGCAAAAAGTAAGATCTAAATACCCATGCTAGAAATACAAACAAGTCAATTCAACAAGTAAAGATCTTGAAGCCAAACCCAATCATGATGCACGATTCTTACTAAAATGACGAGAAAACTACTTCTAGTGAAGTGTAAGTATAGTTAAATGAAGATTCAAAGAGTTGCGTTTTTCAAGGAGTTAAGTTTTATGCTTCAAGGAGTTAAGTTTTATGCTCTATGTTGCATGGATATGGATGCAGGTGCGGACACGAGACATGATAAAATTGCAAAAGTTAGGATACAGAGACACGGCTATATACATATATATTTAAATGAATAATCTATATGAGATCGATATTGTTTTTCAGTCACATATTATCACATATTATGAGAACTGAAATTCTTATACCATTTTTATGTTTCCTTTATTGAGTAGATTACAAATTGAAAGCCGCTCGCTTTTGAACTAGATCCCAAACAACCCTTTAAAATCATGGTTATGAAGTAGGTATGTGCTAAAACAAATTTGTCCCAAGCCCAACAAATTGCATAAATTTGAGGTGAAGTTGCATAAGTTGGAGGTCAAAAATATACATCCAAGAAATGTATCATAAGGTTTTTTAACTAAAATGTGTCATATAATTGAGAACACGTCTGACTAAATGTATGTATGTATTCAGGAAGCATCCAAGAAGTGTCCAACATGGACACGGATATGGGACATGGACACGGATATGGGAGCCTAGATGAAGTGACCAGGTAACCTAGATCATGCTCTATTATCTCTTGCAATATGGTAAAAATATCATATAATAAGATAAATACATCTTATACCTTTTCTTCCTCTCTTTTGCGCTCCTTCTCATTTGCTTTCTCTTGCAAATGTGAGACATGTTTTTCAAAAATCTCCCTCATACAGCTCTCTTCACCAGCAGAACTTGAAGTGCATTAAGTAAATAAGTTACGCAAACCAGGGTTTAGCCAAAAACCAGTTCAACTTGGGGCAGTTTTGATGGAATACCTGTGTTGTTGGCAATCTGCAAGCAATGACTTGCAATCCTCCCATGTTGAAGATGCGGATATTTCCTGCAAAAGAGAAATGAAATATGAATGCTGATTTTTGCAGACTCAAATATCCCAACAAGACACAAAGTTACAGAACCTGGGTAGCAATTATAACATAGTTTCATGATACCTTGGATGAGTAAAGAAGATTAGAAAAATTATCAACCAGACGTTGCCGCTTTTTAGCTTCTTTCTCCTCCTTTTCCCTCAGCTTTTCAAGCAATTCCTTAAATATAAGCTGCAAAACGGATGGAACCTCAGTAAAGTTGCAGGCAATACTTATTAAAAAAGATGCTCTGGAAATGTTTCTCACAAACAAAAAATTGCATCAGGCTTAAGCACTATAAAACACATTTAATCATCATCAGCAATTAATGACCCTTTACTGAAGGTATAGCAGTTGGAGTAACTTCTATTATCAGTAATTGTAGGCATCAGATTTATGACCCATCAAATACGTCAACAAATAACAGGAAAATGAGTTGATACTGTTTGTGTAAGAGAGGTTTCAACAGGTAATTCAGAAAATTTTGAAAAGAATTTATTACAAAGGCAACAAAAACTTAAGAGTAAACTGCTGATTTCCTTCTCCAACTCTTTTCTGATGATCATTTGAAATTAATGACACAAGTTGGTTGTTTTTTCTAAAAAGACCATCTTGAAGAATCCAAAATAAAGAATAAGCACATAAAGCCAAAAAATCTTCGAGCCCTTGAATACAAGCTTTGCTTATTGCCATATCTAGCACAAGCACCAACACTTATCGGATGTAACGTAATGGAAACAAGATTTGAGGCTTTCACAAAGAAAGCCAGGGATATGATGCTGACATGTATCCCACTTATCATCTTTCAATGAAATTCTGATTAAAGTTAACAAGTAAAAATTGCCTCCTACCTCCTACTCGAAGAAATCTCAGGAAACTATAACAGAAGGTAGATGTGATCCAAAAATATCTATTAAAAAAATCACACAGAAAAATGATACCATGGAGATTATTATTATGATTACATCTACCCTCGCAAGCAATCAAAATTTCGGCATCTTTGAAACTATTATTTTCCCTTCAGAAGTACATACTCATGAAGACTGTAATTTCATATCACACGCCATCAAAACGGACATTGGAGTTACGGCCCTTAAAAAGCAAGTGACTACCAAGAAGACTATGAACACATTCAGAATAACAAGTTATCACAACTTTTGCATTTGAGGAGCTACTATAGTCCATTCTTTTCACATGGACATGATCAATTTTCTCGTAATGATAAAGAAGCTAATCTTCACTCCTTGGCTTCTCGATCCTGCTCACTCATAACCAAAAGCTTTCAATATGCAAATTGGAATGGTTTTTATCTGCATTCCAGGCATTTGACAATGCCCCTTGAGGACTTTGGCATTTATATGAGGGCAATGATATGAAGATTGAATTGTTGAATCTTCAAGAACTTTTTTTAATATCTACACAAAACTCTGAGTCTCCATTGTCAACAAATAGCTAGATCTAGCTGAGCCAAAAAAAAACTAAAAAAACAAAAACAAAAACAAAAGCAAAAGCAAAAACAAAAAACCAAAAAAAAACAAAACAAAAACAAAAAGGAACCCCAATAAAACAAACAAACAAAGAGCTAGATCTAAAGACGAAACCCTAGCAGAAAAACTATTAAAGACAACAGTAATATACCTCGTAAAAGAAAGGAACAGGTAATGAAGGAAATAGCATGAAAGCGCAAATTAATTGGAGAAGGAAATAGACAAT